TATCCTCCCACCTCAGCCACCTGAGTAGCTAGGACTACAGGTGCGTGACACCACGCCCAGCTAATTTTGTTGCTGCTACTGTAGAGAGAGAATCTCACTATGTTACCCAGCGTGGTCTCAAACTCCTGGCTTCAAGTGATCCTCTTGCCTCAGCCTCCCAAAGTGCTGGGATTATAGGCATGAGTGACCACACCTGGCCTAAATGCTATGTATATATTAAACTAACTGGTAAATTTAAAATTTTACCTAATGAGCCAGCTTAAACTGGAAATTTTGTTTTCTAATAACATTTGTGGTTTTTTTTCTTTTTTTTTTTTTTTGTTACCCAGGCTGGAGTGCAATGGTGCGATCTCGGCTCACCGCAACCTCCGCCTCCTGGGTTCAGGCAATTCTCCTGCCTCAGCCTCCTGAGTAGCTGGGATTACAGGCACGCGCCACCATGCCCAGCTAATTTTTTTGTAGTTTTAGTAGAGACGGGGTTTCACCATGTTGACCAGGATGGTCTCGATCTCTTGACCTCGTGATCCACCCGCCTCGGCCTCCCAAAGTGCTGGGATTACAGGCTTGAGCCACCGCGCCCGGCCTGTGGTTTTTTTTCTGATTGAACTGATGTTTTCCAAAAGTACCAAATGCTGATGTAGTAGCATTTAGAAGCTAAATGTAACTACTGTGTAATGTAGTAGTAAATGTTACTGCTGTATATAACATTTACTACATAGTAACTTATGGTATGTAGCTGTTAGTTACATAGCAGTTACATTTTGCTACTAAATGTAACTGAATAGCATTTGGCTACCAAGTGTATATATTTAAACACGTTTACTTACATTTAGCTACTAAATGCTATCCAGTTACATTTAGTAGTGAAATGTAACTAAATATGTGTTTAAGTATATGAATTATATCTTTAACAGTCATGCCTATTATTTAGCCCTAACTTTGCCCTTTGTATTCTTACATATTTTAAGATGAATATCAGATGTAGTTCTAGGTAAATGAGAAACTCATGATGCACAAGGACAGAAGTGGAGAAATTGGGAAGACAGTTGGACTTATGAAGATAGATAGTATTGTAACATTTATCGGGCACTTGCTATCTACCAGACTCTGTCCTAAGTCCTTTGTAGGTGTTACCTCCCATAGTTTTCCCTAATATTATTGCTGTTTATTCTCATTTTAGTGATTTGGAAACTGATGCTCATGGATATTAAGTAAATGCTGAAGATCATACAAACTGTTTTGGAACCAAGATTCAAACCTAGGAAATCCGATTCTAATGTTCATGTAGTTAATCACTCTATTAAAGTTTCTGCAGTATATGAAAGTGGTAGTTTTACTCAGGATGTATTGAGTTTGACTAGTTGATGTTTGGTCATTTGAAATTGAATATCTTAAAGAATGTGAAGGTATGAAATTGGCAGTGAGACAGAAATGAAGGTCACTGATGGCAGACAGGTACATAGATGACTAATTCATTCAAATGTATTTTCCTTTAGCACCTGCTTTGTACCAGGTGCTGGTGTAATCCACTCAACGGATTCTCCTTGCCTGCTGCCTAGACAGAGTCGATTTATAAAGATAGGGGAATTGCAATAAAGAGTTTAATTCACCCACAGCCAGCTGTACGAGACTGCAGTTTTGTTATTACTCAAATCAGTCTCCCCAAATGCTTGGTTAGGGGTTTTACAGAGATAGTGTGGAGGGCAAGGGGGTAGGGTAGGGACATGGCATGCTAATTGGTTGGTTTGGAGATGAAATCATAGGGAATCAAGCTGTTATCTTGGACTGAGTCAGTTCCTAGGTGGGGGCCAGAGGACATTTTGGCACTTCCAGGTGGGGCCACTAGTTTTCAGAAATGCAAAAGCCTAAAAAGACACCTCAAAAGGCCAATCTTAGATTCTACAATAGTGGTGTTATCTTCAAGAGTCATTTGGGAAGTTGGAAATCTTATGAACTCCGAAAAAATCGTTGGTGATTATTTATAATTCAGGCCCCTCTCATCCGAATTTTGTGGCCTTTAACTCATTTTATAAAAATTGTTTAGTTTTTAGGAGGGGCTATTATCATTTAAACTATAAACTAGGCCAGACACAGTGGCTTATGCCTGTAATCCCAGCATTTTGGGAAGCCAAGGCAGATGGATCACCTGAGGTCAGGAGTTCAAGACCAGCCTGGCCAACATGGCAAAACCCTGTCTCTACTAAAAAATACAAAAAAGTGACCGGGCGCAGTGGCTCACGCCTATAATCCCAGCACTTTGGGAGACCGAGGCCTGTAGATCACAAGGTCAGGAGTTCAAGATCAGCCTGGCCAAGATGGTGAAACCCTGTCTCTACTAAAAATACAAAAATTAGCCGGGTATGGTGGCGGACGTCTGTAATCCCAGCTATTCAGGCTGAGGCAGAGAGTTGCTTGAACCTGGGAGGCAGAGATTGCAGTGAGCCGAGATTGCACCACTGCAATCCAGCCTGGACGACAGAGTCTCAAAAAAAAATAAAAAAAAAAAAAAAAAAAAAAGAAAAAAGAAAAAAAAAACCAAAGTATTAGCTGGGCATTGTGGTGCGTCTGTAATCCCAGCTACTTGGAGGCTGAGGCAGGAGAATCGCTTGAATCCGGGAGGCGGAGGTTGCAGTGAGCCAAGATCGCACCACTGCACTCCTGCCTGGGCAACAGAGCGAGACTCCGTCTCAAAACAAAACAAACTGTAAACTAAATTTCTCCCAAAGTTAGCTCGGCCCATACCCCAGCATGAGCAAAGACAGCCAACCTGTGAAACTAGAGACACGATGGAGTCAGCCATGTCAGATTTTTCTCACTGTCATAATTTCTTAGTTATCACTTTTTGCAAAGGTGGTTTTACTGGCCTAAGAGATATGAATGAATTTAGGATGAACAGGGCATTTGAGGTCTCTAGTCTCCCAGAGCTTAGTGGGAGGAGATATGATAAATAAGCGAATCAGTAAAATTTCAGTGCTATTAAAAAAATCAAGATAATAGTGTCTACAGATGTGTTTATGGAGGCAGCTGGCTATTGACTACCTTAGGTAGTTTATCTGATAAAATGAGGAAGTCTTTTTCTTTCTTTTTTTTTTTTTTTGAGATGCAGCGTCACTCTTTCCTCCCAGGCCTCCTGCCTCCTCCCTCCTCCGTGCCCCGCCCCTTACCCATGCTGGCCTGCGGCGGTTACCATAGCGACGTGCACGCAGCAGCCCCACCTGACGTGCTCGTCCACGGGGGGCCAAACGAAAGACGCCGCACGATGAGCCGCGCAGTAACCATCCAGGAGCCCGCGGCCCAGCTGCAGGTGTCTCAAACCCAGTACCGGGACAGGTCGCGGGCCGGGAGCCACGTCTCCTCCAATCGAGCGTATGATTTTCTGTACGGTAAGTGCCTCCCCGACCTTCCTCCTCATCCGTCGACTCTTGGGCCAGGTGGGCTCCCAGATGGTGGGACCCGGCCAGGGTTGTGGCGACCGAAAGACCACCCTCTGGACGGAACTCTTGCCCGCGGCTGTCACTGGTCGGGTGGGGGCAGCTCCCAGCCCTCCGGGTGGCTGCGCTCGGGGTGGGGTCGGGGGTGCGGGTGCGCGGGAAGGCGCAGGTGCGCTCCACTTCAGGGAGCGATCTTCCTGAATCCCATTCCTGGCGTTTTGGTATCCAGAAAAGTATTCAACGGTTTGTAGACCCCAGATTCACTCAACGTTCCTGCATAAAATGCCCGACGAAAATGTTTTTTTCTCTCCCACTCTCTGAACAACTCCAAGTTTGTCGAAGAGAAGTCTCACGTTTGTTTTTAGTTTTTTTTTTTGTTTGGAGACGGAGTTTCGCTCTTGTTACCCAGGCTGGAGTGCAATGGCGCGATCTCGGCTCACCGCAACCTCCGCCTCCTGGGTTCAGGCAATTCTCCTGCCTCAGCCTCCTGAGTAGCTGGGATTACAGGCACGCGCCACCATGCCCAGCTAATTTTTTGTAGTTTTTAGTAGAGACGGGGTTTCACCATGTTGACCAGGATGGTCTCGATCCCTTGACCTCGTGATCCACCCGCCTCGGCCTCCCAAAGTGCTGGGATTACAAGCGTGAGCCACCGCGCCCGGCCTAGTTTTTCTTTTTCTAACTTATTCGTCAAAGCATTATAGGCTAGATCCGCTGGCTCCGCTTGGGCCAATAAAGCCCCAGTTTCTTTTAACGGCTTGGTTGTCCATTTTATGTTCTCTCTCCAGGCTTCTTGAGCTCCTTAAGTTCCTGTTGTATATATTTTTGTAGCTTTCTGAACACCAGTCTAGTGCTGATACGTATACTAGGTGCTTCAACAAATAAATGTTTATTGAATTTGCTGTTGCAAGAATTGTAACCAGCTAAGCACGATTTTTTCCCCCAATTTTGCTGTCTGTAATCCCAGGTTTTTCACCGTAACCCTTCATTGCTTTCAACAATGTGGCGTTGCTTCTGGGAATCCCAGGGTCTCCTTTGTGTGGGTATCTCTAGGGCACACGTTCCTAGATAGAGGCTGTGTAATGATTGCTGACATATTCTGGCCAGTAGTTTTCTGTATTCACTCTTGGTTTGAAATAAATCAAGTTAGCTCCTGTAAACACATCACCATGCTTTTTTTTCACAGGTAATTTGAGAATGGAGACAAACATCTCCCCAAAGTTTTATTAAGCTACCTGTTTCTTTGATGCCTTAGTGTCTCTTTTGCAGGGGATTTGCTACATGTTTCCATGTCCCTTGTTAAGAACAGAAATTCACTCAGAGTAGATCAAATGAAAGTTTGGATTGTTATAAAACAATGCCACCACTATTCATGGACAGGAGTGAAGTATAACCAGGGCAGTTGAGAACCTGGATGGGAAAGATCAGAACTAAGATGCTGTGTTCTCCTTCATTCTTTCTTTGGTTTTCCATATTTAGCAAATAAAAATGCAAGATGCACAGTTAAACTTGAATTTCAGATAAATAATAATACTTTAGTATAAATTTATGTCCTATAAAATATTTTGGGACATATTTATACTAAAAAAATTATTCATTGTCTATCTGAATTTAAATTTAACTGGACATCCTGTATTTTATCTGGAAACTCTAGCCTTCTTTCTATGTATACTCAAGCCACAGCTAATGATATTTTGGTCAACAGTGGACTGCATGTGTGATGCATTATAAGATTATAATGAAGTTGAAAAACTCCTATTACCTAGTGACATTGTAGCTGTCACAACATTGTAGTGCAATGCATTACTTTTTCTACGTTTAGATAAACAGATACCATTGTGTTACAATTGTCTACAGTATTCAGCACAATAGCATGCTGTATGGGTTTGTAGCCTAGGAGCAATAGGCTATACCATATAGCCTCAGTGTGGAGCAGGCTATACCATCTAGGTTTGTGTTAAGCACCCTCTGATATTTACACAATGATATATTCACTTCATGACTCATTTCTAAGAATGTATCCGCATCGTTAAGCAACACATCACTATGCTTTCTTCTTCCATATGACAGAAAGCCTCTTGTGTATGGATTTCTCTTACTATGACAGGGACTAGGGTGGCATGCTTCTTGACGAATTAACCCTAAAGCTCACCACCAATTGAATAGAGCCTCTGTGTGTTGTAGCTGAAAATTTAAGTTAGAAATTTAAGATTGGTTGTTGGCCGACCAATGAGTTGACTGGCCTTGGGCCAGGTTTCCACCTTGACAGAACTGTGGTGGTACCAAGATGACCACCTTTCCAGGCTTTTTTACCCTTCCCTATGAAGCCCTGCACGATTGTCCCCTGTTCACTTCTCTAGCCTTTTCTCTACTCTCTTTTCCCTCCTTTATTCTGCCTCATTCCTCCTGGTTTCTTTACTATTGTTCCCATCCTAGGGCCTTTGCTGTTCTTCAGATGTATCAGGCATGCCCCCATCCTAAAATGTTCTTCAGATATCTATCTAGCTAACTTCCTCACCTTCAAGTCTCCTTACATGCCACCTTCTCAGTGAAGCCTGCCCTGACCACCCTAGTTAAAATTGCAATCCAATTTCCCTTACCTGATTTCTTCTTTTTTAGAAATAACAACTCTCAAATTCTAATGTGTAATTTGCTAGTTTATTATGTTGTTTATTGCCTCTCACGAAGTCAAAGATTTTTGTCGTTTTGTTGATGTATTCTAAGCACTTAGATATAGTAGCCAGTCAATAAACATGTGTTGAATGAAGGAGCAAAAAAAGCCTGAGCCACTTGCAGCTTTTCAACCTTGGTGGGAATATCCAGTGTCTGCATTCAGTAAATCATATTTGTTGGGTAACTAATGAATTATTAGGATTTAGGAATTGACACACGTTATCCAAATTCAAAAGAGACCTATTTCTAAATAACAATTCCCAATTTATTAATTTCTGTATGTGTTACCATGTTATCTACACTAGCTGGTCAGGGTATTTGCCTCCCCAGGGACAAGTCTACTTGGGAAATCAATTGTATCCGAAGGCTGCTTGTTAATTTAATGACAAATAAATTGATTGTAAAAGATGGTACAGTATAATCAATCATGAATACTCCTTGTCACTTTAAAGATACATCTGATAAACAGATACTTATAACACCAGGGCAGTATTTTGCTGGACTTTGTAAAAATAATAGTCCAGTCATCAGCAAACTTATAAACTTAAGGGGTTAATTCTGAAGATTGCTGATCTTTATTTTAACCATGTTCACCAATTCTGAGATGTCATATGGTTTGCATCTTTCCACTGCACCAAATATGGGAGATAGTATATACATGTATTGCTTCTTTCACTTGCAAATTGGCATAGTGCATATATACAAGGTCTTTCCTCTTTTTTTTTTTTTTTTTTGAGACGGAGTTTCGCTCTTGTTACCCAGGCTGGAGTGCAATGGTGCGATCTCGGCTCACTGCAACCTCCGCCCCCTGGGTTCAGGCAATTCTCCTGCCTCAGCCTCCTGAATAGCTGGGATTACAGGCACATGCCACCATGCCCAGCTAATGTTTTGTATTTTTAGTAGAGACGGGGTTTCACCATGTTGACCAGGATGGTCTCGATCTCTTGACCTCATGTTCCACCTGCCTCAGCCTCCCAAAGTGCTGGGATTACAGGCGTGAGCCACCGCGCCCGGCCAAGGTCTTTCCTCTTGAAGAATTTTTTGGGCTACCCAGGCTCAGAAGAAGTTTTGTTCATAGGAGAGAAGAAAGTGTGTTTAGGGTATAGTACTTTAAAACATGCTAGGCTTTCTTTTTGCATCCCACTTCCATAAACTGACTTAGAATACTCAGAAAAGAAAAATCTTGACAACTGCCACATGTAGAAGTGGTAGAGTAACAGGGTCACATGCACAACAGAGCATGAGCTGCTGCAGTGTCAGGCAATATGTGAACTTTTATATTTGTTTTCCAATTAAGAGATTACATTAGTTTGCCATTTTTCTCAGCCTATGGGTAGATGTGTTCTATTTGTTATGCTACTTGATTGTTTATTTTCCAGATCCATTGTTTATTGTGTCAAGTGAGAAGGACCATACACAGGCAAATATCCAAGCCACCCTGATTCGCAGCAGACTGGTATGTCTAATTCATCAACCCAGGCTACGTAATGAACCTGAACCATCTAGTTTGCTTAACTGCTTTGATCAGATTGACTAATCACCAGATCTTTACTGGATTTTAGGCTCTGCAGAAATTACTTTGCCAAGATCACTAGGGGGCAAAGCATCTTAATACTTGTGGCTCATTATGAGGATGAAGTCACTAATAATGAATAGAGAACCCATAAAATAATTTATTTCAATGGGATAAATATAATAATATATGCCCATGCTAAAAGAATTCAACTAGTACAAAAGCATATACAGTATGAAGTAAATTCTAGCCCTACCCCCACCCCCTCCACATAAACAGCCATTGTCATCTGTTTCTTAGGCATTTATTTACAGATACTCTGTGCATATAGCAATAACCCCTCTTCTTATGCTATACCCATTGTTTTATATCTTTTTAAAAGGGTTTGCATTGTAATTAAAATGCTTTAGAAAAGCTGATGGTGTAATTTTGTCCTTTGCCTCCCTTCTGTAACATTAGAAAAAAGTTCCCAGGTTTAAAACCATGTTCAGTAACCTGATCCATTATCCAAGATACTCTCTATATTGGAGCAAATCAGATCCTGTCCCACCATTTATCAGTCGGGAATGGAAGCGACATGAGGAGAGACACAGAGAAGCCCTCCGGCAGCTTACCAGGCAAGTGTTGGGTGGCTCCAGGGCCTTAAAGTAAATGCATTTAAAACATTTATTTTTATTCATTTACCATGTGTGATTTAAAAGAGTTCAGTTGTGATGTTACACCTAGGCCAAAATTTTTTTCTAAACCTCTTTTGGCTGAAACAAGCCTGATTTATATATAATATGTATATTGTATATATATAATATATATCTATAATATATATACATATAATATATATATATATATATATTTTTAAAATGACAACTTGCCACGAAAGGTAGGGATGACTGAGTTTGTTGTTGCTTGGTATCTAACTAAGCAACTGAAAGTGCTCTTTTCTGCCAATATCTAAAATATTTTTTGGAGACTTGCAGCCAAAGCACCATCAAGGATAAGTCGAATTCTTTATTCTTTTAATTACTTACAAGTTTACGTTTAGTAAATTAAAAATAATAAAGCCTTTTAGCCTGGATGTAGAAAAATTGTCTTTTAATATTTTGTTATTCTCGTGTGCTTTTAATTAAAATTGGGCATTTTGGCATGTGGGATTTCATAAATCTACTCTTTTCTCAACTCTTGCTCCCTCTGACTAGTTCCTGGTCTGCTGGCTCAGGGCAGGGGAAAAATCATATATACTCTGAGTTGTATGACAGTCAAATGCAGGTTATGGAAGACTTCACTCTCAGTATGGGACACTCTGTGTAGCTCCTACTCTGTACACACAGAAATTTTAAATTGAAATTGTATGTGGAAATATTTTAGACTTGAATAATGTTTTCTTGCTTCATTTTAGAACTGACACTTCTTTTCAGATGCCTAGAGAAGTTTATGAAGACCCTGAAGTTACTGGAAAGAATCGCTATAAATACTTTGAAAGGTACAATATAATTACTAATGAACATTCGAACCCTAATATTATTAGAGAAACTCTTTGTGATAATAATACCAGCTATCATTTTTCAGTGCATGCAATGTGCCAGACTCTGTTTTAAATGCTTTACACGCATCTCATCTAATCTTTACAACAGAAATGTAGGATAAGATATATATGATCCCTGTTTTACCAGTAATGGAACTGAGACCGAGAGAGGGTAAATAAATTGCTCAAGGTCGTAAAAGCTAGCAAGAGGTAGATCTGGGGTTCAAACTAAGCCTGCCTGACTTTAGAGATAGTGATTGCAATTAAGATTATGTATTTGGCCGGGCGTGGTGGCTTACGCCTGTAATCCAATCACTTTGGAGGCCAAGGCGGGCGGATCACCTGAGGTCGGGCGTTCAAGACCAGCCTGACCAACATGGTGAAACCCCGTCTTTAAAAAAAAAAAAAAAAAAATTATGTATTTGAAAACATTTGAAATGAAGTCATCAAATGAATGAGACACAGTAGAAATATCATGAAGTCACAGTGAAGGGGAAACTGTTGTGTCCAAATGGATAACATTTGTTCTTTTTGTGTGAATCTTGCCCAAACCAACATGGCCAAAAAAGTCATTTTATTTCATTTGTGATTTATACTCATGTGATAATCATATACTCAAAATAAGATGGGGATTTCCTTGTACTGTACATCTTACTGGAGTTAGAAAAAATAGTCTTGATACCACATCTGCATAAGCTTCCTTGAGAGAGTAAATTTCTAATCCGCATTATTATTTATGAGCCTCCTTATGGAAATTTTGTGACGCTGACTTTTTTCAGAGAAATGTTAAATCCTTAACTGTAGTATACAGTTAAGTATACAATTCTTAGCTCTTAGGAGGAAGCTTTAGATTAAATCATCGTGAATTTCAGAATGTCTCAAGAACTTGAGAAGTTGCTGGGAACTAATGGCCAGCTGAAGCCCAAGTACAGGGATTAAAGTGTGGCCTCTTCAAGTGTGGCTTGTTTACTGTCTGAAGAGAAAGTACTGGAGTGTTTATTAAGAAGGCACCTTCATTGGCCCTACCCTGTATGTACTGAATCTCGTGGGCCAGACCTGGGAATTTGCATTTTAGATATGAACCTCCCCATCCCCCAGTGATTTTGTATATTCAAAAGTTTTAGTAAAACTAATATATGGAATATTTAAGCTCATTGATTTTTAAGGGACAAATATGAGAGTTGGAAGAAAGCTTAGAGTGTATTCATTGCAAAAGTCCCACACATTTATGTTTTCCTTTTCCTCCCAGGCCTTTTCTTCCATTTTTTCAGCAGATGCCATTCAATGTTGTTTATGCTGTATCCAAGTAAGTAACCATTATTTAAAAACTCTTTTTCAGTTTATTTATTGTTTGCTTCCATATTTGCTCTGAGAAGGTAGATCTCTCACTATTTTTCATATTGTGGATCACAAACCATTGGAAGGTATGAAATCTTCTAGTGGGTCATGAGAAGCATTATAAAACATGAAACAGAATAGAAAATAACCAAAGCATCAGGTATATGGAGGATAAGTTGGTTTTTGTTTATAACTTTTGTTTCAGAAAAATATTTGTGTATGTTTATATGTATATGATGGATTATGACATAAAATGTATTTCTTAGTGTTGTTGTCCATTGTGCTTCTATAACAAAACATCAGATTGGGTGATATAAATAAAATAAATTTATTTCTTGAAGTTCTGAAGGCTGGGCAGTCCAAGAGCAAAGTGCCAGCAGCCAGTGTCTTATGAGGGGCTTCTTGCTGTGTCCTCACATGGCAGAAAAAGCAATACTATGTCCTCACATGGTGGAATGTGGAAGGGCAAAAAGGACATATGCTAGTTCTCTCCAGTCCTTTTATAAGGCACGAATCTATTGACGAGGGTGAAGACCTCATGACTTAATTACTTCCCCCAAAGGCCTCACCTCTTAATACTACTGCAATGGAGATTAGTTTAAACATGAATTTTGGAGAACACGCAGACACACATTCAAACTGTAGCAGTTGTGTGTTTAAAAAAAAAAAAAGAAAAAGCTGAAAAAGGCCAAAGTGGGTAGAACATGGGGTCAGGTGTTCAAGACCAGCCTAACCAACATGGTGAAACCCTGTCTCTACTAAAAATACAAAAATTAGCTGAACGTGGTGGCATGTGCCTGTAATCTCTGCAATTCAGGAGGCTTAAGCAGGATAATCACTTGAACCTGGGAAGCAGAGGTTGCAGTCAACTGAGATCACGCCACTGCACTCCAACTTGGGCAACATAAAGACTTCGTCTCAAAAAAAAAAAAAAAAAAAGTTGAAAAGTGCTTTAAATATCTTATTTTGCTTCTCTGAAACACTTATTTGATGACAATTCTTCAACATTTTATCAAATAAGCAAATCAGTCATATAATATTTTTTGAATGCTACAATTTTATAACAATAACCACAGGCAATAATCTAATATACACAGACAATGTGGTATACAGAGATAAATGAAACGTGGTTTCTGCCCCACAGTGGAGTGAACCAAGGTAAGAGAGAGGTAAGGGACAAGGGCTGAATCTGAGACAAATGTGTATTTCTCCAGTCTCTAGTTTTAGGATAAGATGACAGATTGGGTAGAGTATTCTTTTAAAAATTTAATTTTTGCTACACTCTTTCCCCTGTTAATATAACTTAATATTTCTATAAGAGAAAGAAGTCCATGGTATTCATGAAATTATCAGGAATAGAAACCTTTTTTAAGGTCTCATATTTCTGAATACAAATTTATTCAGGGCTGGGTTTTCAAGCATGCATTTAAAGACTATAGTTATCTCTAATAATATATATAATCTTATCCATAGGACATGTGTTATTAAATGTCTGTAATCCTCAAGATAAATGCTAGTTGTGATCCTACTTCACCTTGACTTTTTAAGACTTGTGTGGATGCCTTTGGCTCTTTATAGAGGTGGAGAACAGATTCCCTGCTCTCCCCAACTTCATAGGGTACCAGTTTATCCAGAAACAGCTATAGACTTATATTCTATGAAATGTTTTGTATGAGCAAAAGGGGAGCTATGAGCTATGTAGATCCCTAAAGATCCATCTGGTAATTATTTAAAATCAGGCTCACTGGGTCACCTGCTTTGGAGGTCATAATTGCCTCAGCCTAAAAGTGGTTAAACTAATTATAGGGAGTTCAGAGGCCTACAGTGATGAAAACCGTGACTTCCCCCACTCCTCCCTTAATAACCGTGACAGAAGGAATAAAGATTCCATCCAAAGTTAAACCATGACATTTGATATTGTAGCTACTCTCTATCTCTCTTATAACTTTTTAAAGAATGCATCATTATTCCTGAGTGAGATGAACTCTGGAATTCCAGTATGTTTGAGTTTATGAGCAGTGAGTATAATGCCACCTTGTATTATCGGGGTTAGAATTGTCTTGGAACTGGCTGGCCTTCTCTAGCTATACCCTTTTCATGGCTAGCTGCTGGAGTCTTTCCTTTGGATTCTACATAAGCATCTTTGCAAAGAGAATAAAAAGTTGATACTTTTAAAACATTCAATAAAGTTCATAGTAGAACAGGATTTGCTAGGTTTGTGAAGCCCCCTCTCTGTACAGTTCTGTTGAGGCTCGGAGAGAAAATCTAGAAGACTGTAGTTATGGCAGACAGTGCATGTGCCTGGTGCCTGGGCAGTGGTCAAGGAGAAGGGGCTGGATAGAACAAATAAAGCAGCCCTTGCTGCCGTTAAGAGTACCAAAGCCAGAACAGGTGAGCCTGAGGACAGGAGCCAGGACACAGCAGGGGTCAGGCCAACAAGGAGCAGGTGTGGGGCCTTTCTGGGTTTGGGCCCTGTTTGAGGTTGGGGAGGAGGTGGGAAAGGGCTCATTGCTCTTTGTTATTGATATTGTACTTTCCCCTAAACCCAACTGAAATGGGGAAAAATAGGTTGGAAAAATTAAGAAATTAGTTAAGAAACCATGTATTAAGTTACTGGAAGAGTTCAAAGTAGCTTTCCTCTTTTGCATTCTATTCTCTGACTTACCTGGAAAGATACAAAGCCGGAAACCTACATCGGAAGAGTTTATTAGGCCTTATCATAAAGCACATTTGATCAGATGGTTCAAATGTGTGATTATTTAATTTGAGAAAAAAATAATTTATTCTCTTGATTCAGGATAATGGTGCACTAATATAATAAAATTTCATGTAACTTAGGATGACATAAAATGGATTTGAATTTATTTCCTCAACTAGAATTTTATAGTAGAATAATTTCTACCAAAAACATAAGAAGCCATATACTGTCTACATGTTAGAAATTTATAGCAACTACTGGAAAGTGATTTCAAAAGCAGTTACAGCGCAGCATAAAAAACTAAAGGCTGGGCGCGGTGGCTCATGCCTGTAATCCTGGCACTTTGGAAGGCCAAGTTGGGCAGATCACTTGAGGTTGGGAGTTTGAGACCAGCCTGGCCAACATGTTGAGACCCTGTCTCTACTAAAGATACAAAAATAGTGGGCACCTATAATCCAGCTACTTTGGAGGCTGAGGCAGGACAATCACTTAAGCCTGGGAGGCGGAGGTTGCAGTGAGCCGAGATCGTGCCACTGCACTCTAGCCTGGGTGGCAGAATGAGACTCCATTTCAAACAAAACAAAACAAAAATATCCAGAATCTACAAAGAACTTAAACAAATTTACAAGAAAAAAACAACCCCATTAAAAAGTGAGCAAAGGATATGAACAGACATTTCTCAAAAGAAGACATTTATGTGGCCAAAAAACATGAAAAAAGCTGATCATCACTGGTCATTAGAGAAATATGCAAATCAAAACCACATTGAGATACCATCTCACACCAGTTAGAATGGTGATCATTAAAAAATCAGGAGACAACAGATGCTGGAGAGGATGTGGAGAACTAGGAACATTTTTACACTGTTGGTGGGAGCATAAATTCTTTCAACCATTGTAGAAAACAGTGTGGCGATTCCTTGAGGATCTAGAACTAGAAATATCATTTGACCGAGCAATCCCATTACTGGGTATATACCCAAAGGATTATAAACCATTCTTATTATAAAGACACATGCACACATATGTTTATTGTGGCACTGTTCACAATAGGAAAGACTTGGAACTAACTCAAGTGCCCATCAATGACAGACTAGATAAAGAAAATTCCTACCATGGAATATTATGTGGCCATAAAAAAGGATGAGTTCATTTCCTTTGCAGGTACATGGATGAAGCTAGAAACCATCATTCTCAGCAAACTGACACAAGAACAGAAAACCAAACACCACATCTTCTCACTCATAAGTGGGTGTTGAACAATGAGAACACATGGACACGGGGAGGGGATATAACACACTGGGGCCTGTTGGGGGGTGGGGGAGCTAGGGGAGGGATAGGAGGACATGGTGTGATAGGGGAGGGATAGCATTAGGAGAAATACCTAACGTAGATGATGGGGTGATGGATGCAGCAAACCACCATGGCACATGTAAACCTGTGTAACAAACCTGCACGTTCTGCACATGTACCCCAGAACTTAAAGTATAATAATATATTTTTTAAACTATTTAAAGTACTTACTCCATTACAGGTTGAACTTCCAAATAAGTGTTTCTTTCTAACTGCTTGAAATGGTTTTTTTTGTTGTTGGTGTTTGTTTGTTTGTTTGTTTGTTTGTTTGAAATGGAGTCTCGCCCTGTAGCCTAGGCTGGAGTGCAGTCGTGTGATCTCAGCTCACTGCAACCTCTACCTCCTGGGTTCAGGCAATTCTCTTGCTTCAGCCTCCTGAGTAGCTGGTATTACAGTAGCGTGCCTCTACACCCGGCTAATTTGTTGTATCTTTAGTAAAGATGGGGTTTCACCATGTTGGCCAGGCTGGTCTCAAACTCCTGACCTCGTGGTCTACCCTCCTCAGCCTCCCAAAGTGCTGGGATTACAGGTGTAAGCCACCACACCCGGCCCTTTTTTTAAAGTATCTTTGGTGTATGTATTTGCTGTGCTTGTATATATGCATTTACCATTGCCTCTGTTTTTCAAAATGGAAATCTCTCTCCATTTTTGCCTTCATCTTTAGTTATTTATATAATTTAACCAATTCTTCTACCAATTTGAAAAAAAAATGTTGTCTTTTAAGTCAAAGTGGCTATATTGGTTTAACTCTTATTCTAGAGGCAATGCATGTACATGTTAAAAAAGAAGATTCAGAAAAGTATAAAGATGAAAAAATTATCTGTATAATTCTATCTAGAAATAATTACTATTATTTTGTTATATATATATAGGCATTTTTCTATGCACAAAATACAGTTTTAAAATGTAAAAATGGAATCCTATGCATACCACTTAATAGTGTCATTTTTTTCTACTTTACAATGAATCATGGACATTTTTGAATGCTCACAAGTATAGATTACATTATTACTTTGAATAGCTGCGTAAGTTCAATTATGGGTGTGCCATTTTTTAAAACAATTCTTGTATTGATGTGATTATTTAAGTTTCTCATTTTTCACTCTTATAAGTGAAACTTTATGAACATGTTTGCATATATATCTTTGTACACCTGTCCAGTTATTTTCTAGAGTAAATTGCTAGGAATAAAAATGCTGGACCAAAGGGTATCTTAAGGGTTTGGTATATATTGATAAATTACTTGTCAGTTAGGTGTACCTATTTGTATTTCTATCAACAGTTTATGAGAATGCCTATTTCATCACAACATAATCAATGCTAGGTACTTTCAATCTTTTAAATCTTTGCTTATGTGATAAAATAGCATCAAATAGTATCTTGCTGTTTTAATTTACTTTTCTTTCATTACTAGTTATCTTCATTATCTTCTTATGTGTTTGTTAGAAGTTTTACTTTTTGGGCCGGGCGTGGTGGCTCACGCCTGTAATCCAAACACTTTGGAGGCCAAGGCGGGCGGATCACCTGAGGTCGGGAGTTCAAGACCAGCCTGACCAAAGTGGTGAAACCCCATCTCTATTTAAAAAAAAAAAAAAAAAAATAGAAAAAATTTAAAAAAGTTTTACTTTTTGTTTTGTGAATTCTCCTTTACTCATTTTTCCATGGGGTATTTAATTGCCTAATTGAATTATAAGAGCTTTTTATATAGAAGGGCTATTTAAACTTTTTATTATATCATATATGTTGCAAAACCTATTTCTTAGTTTGCCATTCACCTTTTAAATTTGTTTGTGATATTTTGAGGCATAGAAGTTGAAACTTAACCCTCAATTCTATTAATCATCTCCTTTTATAGTTTCTGGCTTTTCAGCCAGGCTTAAAAAGACCTTCACTCAAAGATGATATAAATATTGACTTATGTTTTCTGTTAGTACTTTTATAGTCTTATTTTTACATTAATTTTTTTAAAGATCTGGAATTAATTTTTGTGCAAGAGGCAAGGTAACTTTTCCACATGTTAATAACAAGGTGACTCCCCCCATTAATTATTGAATCATTTATTCAGATAGAGCCTGTCTGCCTGTTTGCTTGCCTGCCTTCATTCCTTCCGTTCTTCCTTTTTCTCTTTCTTTCTTTCCACAGAAAGCATCTCTTCTCTTTTCTCTGATCCTGTATTTCTGGAGGGAAACAGAGATTGAGTGTCTAACTAAAACAGAGAAGAAAGAAACCAGAGAATGTAGTAATTCTAAATAGGTCCAGAAGTACTGCACAGCATTCTAGAATAGCTCTATTCTACAACCTTGCCCAGTGATACACATATAAATAGGCACTTTGAGCCAACCATGGTACTTAAACCCACTCAGTTTCTTGGCAGAGGTGAGAATAACAAGGCAATTCTCTCGAGATTTGGGGGCATAATCCTGGTTATAATGGATTCATAACTTTTTACCTGTCAACATTTAAAGGAGGGATGGACTTGACAAAGCTTCCAAGATTTATTTCTACTTAATTATGTAATATTTTAAGTGATCATAACAGGTTTCAATTTTTAAACTAATTTTTCCCTTTTAGGGCAGAACCATATACTTTTCTTCCTACTTCTACTAAGCGCCTATCCATCCCTTCAAAGTCTACCGTGGGCACTCAGACTGATTATCGGGATGCTGACGTTCAAACAGATCCATACTCTCCAGAATATGTAGTATACCAGGACTCAATCCCTGAGCTCTTGACCCTGGCTACTCTTACTTGGGGTGAGTTGGTAAATCTCCTGACTATTGGCAGATGACAGTGCTGATAATCATGCATGCTTTTGAAATGGCCCATGTACAGGCAGTTGTGGTTTACAGTATTGCTATAGAAAGTGTCTTAGTACAGTAACTTCATAGACTCATAATTTTTCTGATACTTCTGGTCAAATAGAGATACTATCTTTGTATTGTAAGTAGTTTTATTGTGCTCTATTTGTGAAGCTGAATATTTCAGCTTAATATTGCAGTTCTTTGCTGACTACTCGTAACCTATGTCCTCTCATTTCTCTCTTCTAGTGAATCACCTCCTTTTCATTGACCAATCATATTTCTTTACACATAAGCTTTTTTTGAGTGTGTAATACTGAATGCACATTCATATGTAATATTATCTTAATTTGCCAAAATATCTTAATTTATCAAAGCTCCCTTATAAACTTTATTAAATGATTTAGATACTATCTCTGAAATACTAAATATCTTTTAGCCTCAGAAATTAACTCTTGGAATGTAATAAAATCTCATCTAGGCCTATATTATGTGAACCTGTAAATTAATAAGTGAAAGTACCTTTAGAAATTATTAGAAATTAGCTTATGTGACTCAGCTGTATTAATATCGGGAAACTGAGAACCAAAGAGGTTAACTAACTCCTCCAAGGGCATAGAGATAGCTGGTACACTGTAATGATTTTTAAATGAGATTACTTCCCCCCCACCTCCCATTGTAATGGATAGCTGTGACCAAATCTGCGCCCCAGGCAAAGAAGATGTTCATATCTGGGCTCTAGTTTTGACTCTTGTTCCTTGGCTCACTTATGAATCCAGATTACACACTCTCAACACCCATACTTTAAAGCAGAGGCTCTACTTTCAGGCCTAGAAGGCAAATTAAAAATTTGCTGAAACCTTCCTGTTCTGCTCTGAAGGCATAAAAAGTACAGGAAAAAAATTAATAAACATATAGCCACACTTAAAAGCAAGAAAGAAAATATTCATAATGTAGAAATGGAGACTTTTTCCTAAAGAAAGGAAGTAGCTGGGGACCTTTGGTGGTGAGCAGGAGCTGTGAATGGCAGGGAACCAGGTCCAAGGCACCTGTCTGAACTGGAGGGGCCAGTGTCTTTCTCCTGCACACAGGTGCCGCTGAAGCCTGGTGCCTGCCCAATGAAGATTATAGCCAGAGGGGAGTCAGGCATTCCTGCCTGTGGCCTTGGACTTTACCTCTTGGTGTGGTAGGGACTTGGCAATAAACTGCAGAAGGACAAGAGCCAGGCAGAGGCTCAGAAATGCTTCACTAGGCCAAAAAACCTAATCTGGTACACTGTCATAAGCAGAACTGAGGTTGAAGTGTCAATAAAAGCCTCTATGAGCCAGGCCTAATCCTACCATCTGTGGGGCCCAGGACTCTAAGGGAGGCCCACATACCATGCATATGGATATTTTAAAATTATTAATCAAGCTAATATCTGTTAAGTAAAATACTTTTTTTCCCCCCACAAACATCTTTATAACAAGTTAAAAGGACAAGTTTAAATTGGAATTCTTAGACTCCTAGGATTCCATGCTGTAATGTGGCAGCAAGGCGAGAGCCTACTGCGGCCTGCTGTTTGCTTTCCCCACCATGGCTCTGCTCTACATCTGAGGGCCTGTCATGCATGCCCGTGATTACCCAGCTCTTCTTCCCAAACTCTCTTCACACATCCTACGAACAGCTGCCATTTGGCCCCACCTTGGGCTTAAGGGTAAACAAACAGCAGCATATATTATGCCTTCAGGAATCTGAATCTTGTGAAGAGGCCCATGGAGACTTTGGAAGCAGGCTCAGGGCCATTTGTACAAGCGTGGAGATAGCTCCAGGAGGGAATGGGGGCCTGGACTCCTCACCCGGTGGTCATGAGCAGGGCTCTAAAGAATGAGGTTAGGTAGGAGCCCCTCTTGTAGGTCAAGGCTGCTTACTGACCAGAGTCCTTATGAGAGAAACCTGTAGGTGATCTCCACTCGTGAACCCTAAAGCACCCAAGGAACAGAAACACCAGGAGTGACCCACAAAAAATAAAGGAAATGGAAGAATCAATTTCTGAGTAAACAAAATTGAGCAATCTGAAAAGGACTTAGGAAGTGATTACTATATTCTCAGAGGAATAAGGGGGAAATAGCAAGACCAAAACAAGAATGGGAGTCATGAAAAAGAACCACCTGGAGTCAAGGGGGAGGAAACCTCTAAAGTTCGAAATAAAATGAACTCAATATTAAAATAGACAGAGCTGAAGAGCAAATTAATGAAATGGCAGATTAAATTAACGCATATACCAGAATGCAACATATAGTGGTAGAACAAGATAAAAGAAAAGGGAGAGCTGTGAGGGCTAGGACATGAGTACAGGGAAAATGGTAGAGAAGCAATGCAAGAAAAGATAATGGCTGAGAACTCACCAGAACTAAAGAAAGATATTAGCCTTCACACTGAAAAATTCCACTGAGTACCAACCAGGATGGTCCTTTAAAATTTCATACCTACTAACAAAAGAAAAAAAAAGTGAAAAAAATATTAAAAAGGTAACTCAGATTACCTACAAAGGAAAAAATGATTGATATTTTGTAGTATTACCTTTAAGGTTCTATGGGAAAATGATTGCAAACCTAGAATTCTTTCACCAGCCAAACTATTATTGAGGAGGAAAGGTGAAATAAAGACATTTTCATACATAAGAAGAATAACTATCTCATAGGATATTGTAAGCATTAAGTAAATTTATTTATGTAATGTATTCATACCTACAATCCAGCAATTTCATACCTAGCTATACACCAAAAAAAAAGCACAGTATTCTACTAACAGAAATGCATAAGTGTGTTCACAAAAAGACATGTACAAGAAAACTCACATCAGCATTATTTATAATAATTCCAAACTGAAAACAGCTCAAATGTCCATCAACCATAGAATGGATGAATAAAATATAGTATATTCACATAATGGAATGCTATATAATAATGAGAATGAAGTACAACTACATGTAGTTACAAGGGTGATTGTAGATGTGTATATAATCGCATATGTAATGCTGAACAAAAGAAGATAAAGAAGAGCACCTAAACTGTGATTTCATTTACATAAAACTTAAAACCAATCAAAACTAAATTAACGCATTAGGAATGAGGATGGTAGCTATCCTTGGGCAGGTAGAGACTGGGGAGTATCATGGGCATTCTAGGTTTCTGGTAATATTCTATTCCTTAATCTGGGTGCTGATTATATGGGATGTTTGTTTTTGTTTATGTATGCTATACATTCATAAAAAGTTTACGTAAAAATAAGGGAAAAATAATGACACAGTGAAAAAGATGACACTGTTAAGTACTGAGGGGATAAGATTAAGTGCTTATGATATGCCAAGAACTGTTCCAAGCGCTTTACATTTTAAACATATTCAGTCTTCACATGTAAAAGGAATAATAAAGTTAAAATAAATAATTGACAAGATAGATCTTTTAAAAGGCAAAAGAAATAGTCTTTAGGGCCATAAGTAATTTTCTAATAAAGATTAATAAATGGCATAGTATTTGGATATAACTTACACTCATCCTCCCATATATTTAAACCATCTCTAGATTCCTTACAATTCCTAATGCAATGTAAATTCTACGTAAATAGTTATTATACTGTATTGTTTAGGGAATAATGACAAGAAAAGAAAAGTCTGTACATGATCAGAACAGATGCAATTTTTAAAAAAATATTTTCAACCTGCAATTGGTCAAATCTACAGATGGTAGAACCCATGGATATGAAGGGCCAACTATCCTAGTAAGGAAACTTACAGGCCAATCTCATATATGAAGAAATATGCAAAAATTCCAGATAAGATACTAGCAATCTTGCTGCATTTTTAAAAGAGTGACTTATAACCAAATGGAGTTAATCAGGGAAATTCAAGTTTGTTGCAATATTAGAAAGCTATTTATATAATTTACCATTTTAATGGAAAACATAAGAAAAATGCCTCTCTGGATGCAGAAAAAAGTATTTTATAACATGCAATGCTCATTTATGATATATACTCTGAATAAACTGGGAGCAGAAGGAAACTTTAGAGACTTAAGGAGTATATACCATAGTCTGTAATAAACATCATACTAAAGTTGAAACTTTAGCTTTACCCTAAAAGAAAAAGACATTGATAATGCTCATTATCACCACTATTGAACCACATAGAGAAGATCCTAGCCCAGAGTTTATCAAGTTTGGCTATGATCCCTCCTCTCAGGAACCTTTGGGAGTACGGGCGGCATTTTTTCTATGTAATAATGATTAGGAAGTGCTTCTGGCATTTAGCTCATGGGACAGGATATAGCGGATAGGCTGGTGTGGATACTAAACATCCTGTACTGCATGGGGGATTTTCATACAACAAATAGTTATCTGCCCAATATGGCAATAGCACCCTGGTTGAAGAACACTGAGTCAGTGCAGCAAGATAAGAGAAAAATGGAGGCATGATGATTAGAAAGAAGCAGCAAAACTATCCTTATTTGCACACATGTGCTCACTTAGAAAATCAAATTATCAGAACTAAAAAGAGAGTTCAACAAGAAATCAACATAGATCAATTGCTTTCCTATATGAGAGCAATATCCAACTAAAAATTGTTGAGGCCAGGTGCAGTGGCTCACACCTGTAATCCTAGCACTTTGGGAGGCCAAGGCAGGAGGATTGATTGAGGCCAGGAGTTTGAGATCAGCTTGGACAACATTGTGAGACTCCCTCTCTACAAAAGAAAAATTAGCTGAGTGTGGTGGTACTCACCTGTGGTCCTAGCTACTCAGGAGGCTGAAACAGGAAGATTGCTGGAGCCCAAGGATTCAAGGTTATAATGTAAAGTGAACTGTGATCATGCCACTGTACTTCCACCTGGGCAACAGAGTGAGACCCTCTTGGAGGAGGAGGAAGAGGAAGAAAGAAGAAGAAAGAAAAAGGAAAGAAAAGAAAAATTATTTACCTGAGGTTGGGAGTTTTCGACCAGCCTGGCCAACATGGTAAAACCCTGTCTCTACTAAAAATACAAAGAAATTCGCTGGGCATGGTGGTGTATGTCCCAGCTACTCTTGGGGCTGGGGTACAGTGGTGTGATCATAGCTCACTGCAGCCTCAAACCTTAAGGCTTAAGTGATCCTCTTACCCTACCCTCCCAAGTAACTAAGGCCACAGGCCCACACCACCATGCCAGGCTAATTTTTAAAATATATATATATATTTTTTGTGGAGGTGGGGTTTCACTATGTTGCCCAGGCTGGTCTCTGGTTCTTGGATTTAGAAATCCTCCTGTCTCAGCCTCCAAAAGTGCTGGGATTACAGGTGAGCCATGGCACTTGGCTGAAAAAAATTACATGCACTATAGCAATGAATAACAAAGTGCCTAGGAAATCACTTAATAAAAACATGTGCAAGGGATTTATGGTGAAAATCATAAATTATTCTTTAAGCATGTAAAAAAAGATTTGATGAAAAGAGAGACAGAACATGTTTATCAATGGGAAAACTCATGCTTGAATAGATAAGACTTCTCCCCTGAGTAATTTATACCTTCAAGTATTTCTAATCCAGATCCCCACTCTCAATATAACTATGCCTGGGTAAATTAGCACTTTTCGTCTTCTCTTCCCAGAAATCACACAAAAGCAAGAACAACAATACTCCCACAAACTCCATTTTCAGTAAAACTAAAAATATATATAATTCATGAACTACTAAATATTTGTAAGGACTGCAAAAAGCAGCTGAGATTGGGCAGATGCAATGTGGGAGGAAGTGAAGCATGCACCATGGGAGAGGAACCATCAGGGGATCTCAGAAGGCAGCAGCAAAAATATACTTCTGAGGGTAAATTAAGCAATATCCAGAATTAAAAATGTTCATATTTTATGATGTAGCTGCTAGACTTTAGCATTTCTACTTCTAAGAATCCTAGAGAAACTCACATATGGTACAATGAGACCAGTACAAGGATGTTTGCTGCAACATTATGTACAATCAAAAAATTAAAAGCAATCTAAATGTCATTTGAGAAGATAGCTTAAATTGTAATAAAGCCTGACAGTGGAAGAAGGAAACTAAATCTGTATATATCAATACAGCTAGGCTTCCAAAACAAAATAGAGTAAAAAAAAAGCAAGTTGCAGAATGAATACCTACAGTACAATACCGTGTATGTAAATGTTAACTAAACATCAGTACTGTGTTCTATATAATTCATTTTTGGTTCCTATTTGTTTTTACTAGAGAGGAAGTATAGTATAGTGCACAAAAATGCAACGTTCACACTGCCATGTGCACCTTCTGATTTACACCTGCAGCCTTGTGCAAGTTACTTAACCTTGTAGCCCTTCAGTCTTTTCATTTGTAAAACAGGCATAATTGTATTTATGTGATAGGGATTTGTTCAGGATTAAATGGATTAGAAAAGTGTTTGGCATAATAAAAGTGTTTAAGTAATGTTAGGTTTTATTATTATTATAATTCATAGACACATAAATTTGTATATAAAATGTCAAGATTGAATGAAAAACCACAATTTATTTTTCTGTTTACTTTGGAAAATGGGAGAAGGGAATAGGGCTCGATGTGGTAGTTAAAAGGAACATCGGCTTTAATTATAATGTTTTAATTTCTTTTATTACAAAATGTAAAGTATATATGACAAAAAGTGTACTGTTGTTAAGTCTGCATATATATGGTATGATTTTCATAGTTATTTTTAAAATTACTAAAGAAAATACCACACAAGACCCACAAAATAATATGTTGGTACATACATACGGCGTTTTGTATACAGTTTTATTTACTTCTTTATATAGCTATAAAAGTAAAAAGATGAACTGGTAGTATTACTCCTCACTAAATGGGTCATTGTGACTGCCTCTGGGAAGGTAATCCAAATGAGGAAGCAGAGTACAGAATTTTAGCCTTCTCTATAATACCCTAATTTTAAAAACAAGAGACAGTGTAATTATATATTACTTATTTGCTTTTTAAAAGCATAAACATTACAAAAGATCTGAAATAAGGCAAAAATCTTAGGCATGGCCTCCTGTATGTGGTAGAAAATATGACTTGTTACTTATGTCCTTGAATTTTTATATATAATTATGTGTTTGAATGAAAATAAAAAGTTGGCTTATTGTGATTCGGTGATCAAACAGGAAAATTGTTCCAGCCTCCCTTTCCTTTAGCTGCTTTTGCAAGGCCACATTTAGAGGTGCTAGGCACCTAAATGTGCTGGCATCCTCAAAACTTGGTCCAGGGAGGCATACGTAGGTTTAGGTCTCAGCCAGGCTCTCGGAGCTGGTCAGGAGACGTATCCAGTGGCCCTACCCTCCTGCCTGACCTATGGGTACTGTGTCTTTGAATGCTTAAAGTTGGAGGTGAGAGATAGCCCTAAACTGTACATTCACTGTGGGGGACAAAACCCAAATATGGTGAATTCTCAGCTAGTGATTAGTGTCTTAATTTTCTATGATTTTTTTAAAAAGTATCTGGCCAAGTGGCTCATGCCTGTAATTCCAACACTTCGAGAGGCTAAGGTGGGAGGATTGCTTGAACCCAGGAGTTTAAGGCCAGCTTGGGCAACGTGATGAAACCTTTTCTCTACAAAAAATAGAAATAAATTAGCCAAGTGTGGTGGCACATGCCAGTAGTCCCAGCTACTTGCGAGGCTGAGGTGGGGTATTTGTGCCTGGTAGGTCAAGGCCACAGTGAACTCCAGCCTGGGTAACAGAGTGAGACCTTGACTCAAATATATATTTATCCAACAAATTTTCTACTCCATATTTTTCCCATCTCAGGACTTTGAAATTTCCTTGTATTTCAGAATATAAATTTGTTTATTACAGAGTGTTCCAAGGTGTGATTATTCAGCAGTCACTTAATATTCTTCAAATACATTCCAGCATCTTACATGCAATTAAAATGTTTTTTGGCTCAATTACTAACAAGAGGCAGTGGGGCACAGATAACACAAGCTGTGAGGCACATCTAGAGGGTGTTCCCTAACGTCATGTTATCCTGTCATAACCGACAGGGAGTAAATTACATACTGGGGGGTGTGTGGGTGGCCCACTTGTTCCTAAGCTGTACTGCTTCATTCTGCAGGTCGGGGTCTCCCAGCAGGACAAGCCGAGGTGGAGATGATAGAAAGAGCCCGTGAGAAGCGTGCTTGGGAAGCCACCCTTCCCCCTCTGAGTGACACCTTCCAGTATGAGAAGAGGAGGAAGATGATGAATGAAATGGAGAGGAAGGAGTGGGCCTTCAGAGAGCAGGAGATTGAAAAGTAGGTTCTCTATCACCTAGACAACTGTTCCTGCACTGGTGGGAGTAATATTAATGCTTTATGTCTGCAAAGCATTCTCCCAAATAGGTTGAAAAGCTTCCTCAACCTATAGAGATAGGAAATTGGGCTTCCAGTTCTTTCAGGAGCAGTCACATGCTTCTGATGTGGTCCAGAAGCTCTCTATAATTTTCTCTCCAATAACATAAAAATGTAGAATGCCCTCTCTGTGTGTGAAGAAGCTCAGCATGGGACCCAGGTTTGAACAACTCCTGAAGGGCTTCTCTGATTCTTCTCCTCTTTTTGCTCTTCAGTACCTATTTTAACTGTCACAGAATCCCACTAATTTCTGCAAAGCACCTTTTAAACTGTCCCTTCATGTTCATTCCCAGTGCCACTATCCCGGTGCCTGGGCTTTCTTCATAGCCCCCCAAACAGCCTTGGCACTAGTCCTAGCTCTTACCTTTCTGCTCCCGACACTGGATTCACAGTCAGGATGCCTTGCATTCTGGCTAGAGCTGATGGGGGCATTTCCTACTTAAAAGACAAATTATGGAATTATTCCATTAAGAGTTGAGTTTCTATAACAATATACATAAATAGCAATATGCTGAGGTACTTGTGGTTGGGTTTTCAATCATTTCAACTGATGTATTTCCAGTAATGGAGTTGTTGCTGATATGTGGAAATGGTAAGAGATGATGAGAACCAAAAAATTATAACTCTCTAGCAAGAACAAAGGAAGTGCGTTTGCTGAGGCTGTCCTTTGTGCCAGGCTGTGCTGATGCACTTTATTGCTCAGAGAAATGCTGCCAAAGACCCTTACACACAAGAGAGGGACCCAAAGAGTTAGAGACTCAGGTTGGTGCTAAATTTGGAATATGTTAATTGTTTTGCAACACCTTCAGATTAAGTCTGAATCTAGGCTTTGTGATGTTTTGATAAAAGCTTGCAATTTAATTTAAAAAATAGTGTTTGGGGCAAAGTAGGTGTCAAATACCCAATCCTGTTGGCAGAAATTTAAATTTATTATTATGTTTTGGAAAGATATGTGTCTTTTCAAAAGGCATTAAAACTATTGAAAATGTCCAGAGGGCCAGAGTGAAGATGTCACCTGAGAAAGTGAGTACATTTGTTAAACTGAGGGCAATTTTCATACATGTATTTTGAGTCCCTTCTACATGCTAGGCCTTGTGCTACGAGTTAAGAAAATAGGGATGTATAGGAAACTGCTCTTCCTGACAGAGGTCCTTATGGTCCACTGGGGCAGGAGGGCAGGGAAGGTGAGCAAAGATGGGACAAAAGATCTTACACCAACCGCTCTCAGGCTGTGCCTATCAGGTGATGTGCTATTCTGTACCTGAAGTGCTTGGGGAATCTAGGTGAGAGAATAGTTAGTTCTATTTAAGGTGGGCGATTTGAGAAAGAAAACTGCTGAGAGGAGGTATCTTCTGAGCTGGATTTTGAAGGGTGACTGAGAAGCCATCAGGCAGATAGTGATATCAGACAATAATATCAGAAGCTATCAGGTAGAACAATGCCTGAGGGCTGTTGGTCTGAGATCTTTGGCACCATGTCTTTGCCCATCTCCCTGCCCCTTCCTGCCCCAGTGAACTCTAAGGAGCTCTGTCAATAATATCAAATTGATGATGATGATGTGTTGATGATGATGATTAGTGGACTATAAGGAGCTCTGTCAATATCAGATGATGAGTGAACTATAAGCTCTGTCAATAATATGATGATGATGATAATTGGTGGACTAAAAGGAGCTCTACCAATGACATCAGATGAAGAAGAAGACATCTATAGAGCATGGAACATTTATAGAGGGCTTACTATGTGCCAGATGATGTTCTAAGCATACAGTTCTCAAAGTGTGGTCCACAGACTAGCAGCACCAACATTACCTTGGAACTTGATAGAAATGCAGATGATCAGGCCCCGTCTCAGGACCCGTCTCAGGACCTATGAATCAGAGATTGTCAGCAATCTGTGTCAGAAACTGCCCTCCGATTGTGCTGCTTGCACTCTTAAATTTGAGACTACTGTTCGAGCACTGTATATGCATTAACTCACTTAATGCTCACAACAACCTCATGAAGAGGGTACTATTATTATCTCCACTTTATCATTAAAGAGATTAAGGTCAGTGGTGACATGGAAAATTAAACCTAGCATTTCTAACTCTAGAGAGAAAGGTGGCTGGGGGTGTGTGGCTTAGTTTTTAAAATGCCTATTTCTCCATGCTCATTTGTCACTACACTCTTGCCCCTCAAGCACATTCACTCCGAGAAATGCTGCCAGTGTGACATCTTGCTCTACCTCCAGTCTCTGCTGAGGCCCTGCTTTTCCCTTGTCAATCTGGCAAATCTCAATCCTGAGTTAACAGCTCCTCTAAGGAAAGCTTTTCCCACCTTCTCCCTCTTTTCTCCCTGCCCTATTCTTTCTTCTCCCACAAAGACTTTTCATTCTTCTAGCCTGGTATGTATCTCCTTGTGCTGGAGGTGTCGGTTCACATGCCCATTCACCAGAACACTGCTTCTTGAGAGAAGGCGTTTTATCTTGTACATCATTGTTCCTGCCTGGCATATGGTGGGCACTTAATATTTGACAAATGAGTAAGTGAATAAATTCAGGTATGAATTTCTAAGTAGGAGTAAAATGTATATTAAAATCTCTGTTTTAGGAAGGAAAACCTTGACAGCTGGGTAGAAAAAAGATTGGAAAGAGGAGAGACTAGCAGCAAGGAGTCCATGTTAGGAGTGAGATGATCAAAACATGAGCTAGGGAATAAAAGAAGTATTTCTGAGGAGCAATCCTTAGCAGTGGAAAGAAGGTGTAAGAGGGGCAGACGTCTGGGGGAACAAGTGAGTAAGATTTCTGTTTTTTTAATTATCAAGGGACAGTTGGAGATTCAAATAGATGGAAATTCTGGTTCAGAAATATCTAAGCTGAGCTGGGCGCAGTGGTTCACGCCTGTAATCCCAGAACTTTGGCAAGCCAAGGTGGGATCACTTGACGCCAGGAGTTCAAGACAAGCCTGGTCAATGTGGTGAAACTCCATCTACACTAAAAATACAAAAGTTAGCCAGACATGGTGGCAGGCACCTGTGTTCCCAGCTACTTGGAAAGCTGAGGCATGAAAATCGCTTGAACCCAGGAGGTGGAGGCTGCAGTGACCTGAGATCAGGCCACTGCACTCCAGCCTGGGCAACAGAGCAAGACTCTGTCTCAAAAGAAAGAGAGAGAGAGAGAGAGGAAGGAAATAAGAAAGGAGGGAGGGAGGGAGGGAAAAAAGGGAAGGGAAGGAAGGGAGGGAGGGAGGGAGAAAGAGAAAAAAGAAAGAAAGAGAAGGAGGGAAAGAAGGAAGGGAGGGAGGGAGGGAGAAAGAGAAAAAAGAAAGAGAAGGAGGGAAAGAAGGAAGAAGGGAGGGAGGGAGAAAGAGAAAAAAAGAAAGAAAAAGAAAGATCTAAGCTGGAGGTACAGATTGCAAAGTCATCTGCATTGCATTGTTGGATGCACATGAGCAAGGTAGCCCAAGGAGAACAAGTTGAAGATAAGGGGAAAGGAAACAAAAATTTGTTGAGTACCTATTATATGCCAGGCACTGCATTTTCACCTCACTCCTTAGGAGAGCATGCCAGAACCGCATTTCCTCCTCACTCCTCCTATTACGTAACCTTCCAGGAATACCACTCGACCTGGCACTGTGCACAAACCTCTTGCTGTTCCTTTAGGCCCATCTGTCTAGAAAGCCCTTCTTTTACCCCATCTGCCTGGCATACTCTTCTTCATCCTTGAGAACGACACCCATGTATATTCCTATTATATAGTGAGTCTCTATTGAGTTGTCTCCCCCACGCCCCCACTTCATCTGTCATGCTTTTGCCAGAGTGGTCTTTTGACAATACATGAACATGATACCAGCCCACAGAGAAGAGCCTGTCTGTGGCAGCCATTTCCTTGCCCTCTGAGATGCCATATGCTTCTTTATGTTTTGTAATTTACTTGAAGACTGCAGGAGATTCGTCTGGAAGTTCTAAAAGAGCTGTTGAGGAAGCGTGACGAGAATCAGAATGAAGTGAATATGAAGCACCTGAATGCCCGGTGGTCAAAACTGCAGGAGGCAAAAGAGGCAAAAATGGCAAAAATTCAGCACACACATATATCAAGTAATGGTGTAGTATGAACAACGAAGTCAGTGGAAAAGTGGGCTTTGCTTTGGATCTTTGACCAAACCTGACTTAACTATGTTATAATTCTGTTATGGTTCTGGGAATCGCATAGGTAAGGGCTGAGAGATGAGTTATTTCTTAAAGGTAGAAGACTGGAGGAAAATCCCTCACTAAGCAAATCAAGTGACGGTGTCCTAACAGGTAGTCAAGTTATTGAGATAATGGATGTGTGTGTGTGTCTGTATGCGTGTGTGGTGGGATAGGTGTTGGGTTCCCCATATTCATGGTCCACCACCCTGGATAAAGACCCCGGTTTCTTACCCTTTCTTCATTATTGCTCTTAAAGGAGACATTTCAGACATCCCTTTTTCTAATCACCCCTCTACAAGAAATTTTAATACCACAGATATATATGTTTATGAACTATATGTATATCTGTACTTTATACATGGAAAGAGTAAGTATATCGTTTATTATTTTTATTAAGAATGACTGAATTAAAGATTCAAGTTAAATTTCTACTTTAAAAATTTAAGGTCAGGAGAGGTACCTCATGCCTGTAATCCCAGCACTTTGGGAGGCTGAAGTGGGAGGATTGCTTAAATTAGCTAGAAGTTCAAATCCAGTCTGAGCAACATAGTGAGACTCCATCTTTAGAAACTTTTTTTCAACATAGCCAGATGTACACATCTGTAGTTGTAGCTACTTGGAGGCTGAGGTGGGAGGATTGCTTGACTCCAGGAGCTCAAGGCTACAATGAGATATGATTGCATCACTGCACTCCAGCCTGGGTGACAGAGACCTTGTCTTGAAATAAATAAATTGTTTCAATTACATGTGCAGACTATATATGTACTCATTCACAATGTAATCACATTTTTAAAAATCATTCAAAACTTATTTTTCCAACAAAAATAAAATAATCACAAAAATAAATTATTGCTTAAAATTATGTTTAGTGAACTTAATTTTTTAAATTATTATTATTTTTTTTAGACAATCTCGCTCTGTCGTCAGGCTGGAGCACAGTGGTGTAATCTCGGCTCACTGCAACCTCTGCCTCCTGGGTTCAAGCGATTCTTCACCTCAGCCTCCCACGCAGCCGTGACCACAGCTGCATGCCACAACGCCTGGCTAATTTTTGTATTTTTAGTAGAGACAGCGTTTCACCACGTTGGCCAGGATGGTCTCGATCTCTTGACCTCGTGATCCACCCACCTCAGCCTCCCAAAGTGCTGGGATTACAGGTGTGAGCCGCCATGCCCGGCTGAACTTAAATTTTAACTTTTTCTTGATGTGAGAAAAGAGCATTTAACTGCTAGGTATTTATTTAGATATGCTCAACATTTTTTTTCAGTACTTGGAATAACTTATGATAGATCTGACTAATTTTTATAGGTGAATAATAAAATTTAAATCATTTTTACTTAATTCTAAAACCGAAGTCACACCCAGAAGTGCTGAGGATCAAACATCCCCAAGCTACATCCCCAAGACAGCAGTGGTACACAGGCCCCTCTTGCAGCATGACATCATGATCTTGTGATAAGATTTATACCCCATTGAAAGTTTACAGTGTAAAGCCGCCAAAAGGGCTTGTGTCTGTGATGGGATTTGAAAGAAAAGGAGCATGGGAGGCAGGGAGCATCACTCTTCAGATGAGTATACTCCTATTGTGCACAGTGAAGCCTTTTCTCTCTGACTGCCAAACAATTCAGAAAGCTATAAGCTGGGACATTCTCTGGTTTATTTTGGTGTTAACCAAGATGAACCTGTAGTCTTTGCTTTTGATTATTGTAGGGGAGAATAATTCCCTAGTTCTCCACTGAACATGTATTTTCCAGATGCTTTGAGTTTTACTCATTTAACAAACTTTTACTGAATACCTCTTCTTGGCCTGGAGCTTGAAATGCAGTTATAAAAGATTTCTGAGGAGTACCGATTGAGGACACTAGCTGATTCTGCTTCTGTCATTCCTGCCTGTCTCATGACAATCTGGGCCACACAGATGGCAGACCTCTGTTTTTAGTGTTACATTCTGGCTGTCATGAGTCATCATGAAATTCATTCATTTCAATAGCTTCTCTGAATAACACTAGAATCAGTTTACTCTTCTGCATTTGTTTAATTCAGAACAATATTTTGGAGATAGTCATGGAGGTATGTTTTATTTCAGCAATCAGAAAACTTGTAGGAAAGGGAAAGAATATAGAAGGGAAGCTGGAGAGAAGAAATATCATCAAGGACTATTCTGATTATGCATCACAGGTCTATGGACCTCTGTCTCGTCTTGGGTGTTTCCCAGACAACAACTCAGAGGACTTTGTAGTAAAAAATTGCTATCTCAACACCTATGAAGGTAAGCAACTTACATAATTAGAAATCCAATATAAGAAGGTTATCTCAGAAATATGATCAAATATATAAAATGTAGAAATTTAGATTAAAAACTAAGCAAAAAAAACACTTGCAATAAATAGTGATGAACAGGTTTAACATTATTAATGTGAGTTCATACAAACAAATAAAAACTACTAAGACACAAATAAATGAATACGCTACAGAACAGTTCAGCAAGGAGTAAATTCAGTTAGCCACTAAATGTTAAAAAATGTTTAATGTCACTAATAAAGTTATTTAACAATGAAATAGAGAAAAGTTTTATATTTGGTTTATGAAGCAAAAAGGAAATATGTTTAATGAAATCAATCATTTACAAAGAAATGTCAAAAAATAGTGGGCAAGAGGATGGAGAACCAGGGAATAAATTCATGGAAAGGGGTATACCTCTTCCGAAATTCAAAAGAGGCTTATTTAGTTATCTAATTTCACTTGACAAGTTGAAGTATCACATGGCCAAGATCATGAGTTGCTGGTTACACTGCTGAACTTGTAGCTGTGGCTGGCCATCTCCAGAGCAGAATGTAATAAATTGGTGAACATCTACTTTAGAAGGGTTGGACCAGATATCATAGAATCATTAAGTTTTTGTTGATTATTATTGTGGAATTGCTACTTTTTCGTAGGGTGATGTTTTCATTTTAGAATGCATTTCTCATTGTACAGTCTAAGTCACTGAGAACATGAGTTAATTATACAGAAATGTGCTATCACATTTCAAGGACACTTCATTCTGTTATATGAGATACACCCTCTCAACAATTCTAATGAAACTGCTTGGCAAACAGCTACAAAAGTTAGCAATATACTTTAAAAATAATAAACGTAAGCATTGGATACTAAAAACATGTACTTCCTTCCCATAGGATTAGTCGAACTTGAGTCATGTCTCCCAGATTTTGTGACACAACCCCGAATCAGAGCTCCAAAACCTAAAATCATTACCACCAAAGCCGGTTTTCTGAAGAGAGCAGCAAGGTTGGACTATGAGTTGGCAGAGATTCATAAGGTATAATCATTATCTGGAGACAATGACTTCCAATGTGGCTTTTGCAGATAAATGCTACACTTCAAAAATTGCAGCAGTGTCCAGTGGGTCAAACAAAGCTACATTCTCTGCTCTGCACTTTTCTGAGGTTGCCCATTGCTGTGCTGAACCAATGTGTATTTCCCCTCATTTCACACTTCAGGAAACTTCCTGGAGATTATTTTCCCCATTTGCAGACATCATATTACTTTCTGAAAGTGTTTTCAGTTGGATCTCTGTATAAAATTTGACACTATACTAAGGTACGGCAAGCTTCTAGTATTCGGAATTGTTATCGATGTTAATAGTTGTAATAGGCCCGATTTTCTCCCTTTTGTGTTCATGTGATTTGGACATATGAAGAGAGAGTCATGTTCAACTCCTTTCTCATCAAGTTAAAACTCTAAAGGAAAATGTGTGATGGTCTTTCCCAAGACCCACAGCACGTCATCTATCACCCGGCGTTTACCTTTTGCTGGACTATAGGTGTACAGAATCTATGGTTTATGATGGTGGTCCTCGATCTTCCTTGTGCATCAGAATCTTATGGAGTACTTGTTAAAACACATGCAGCTGGACCCCATCCCTAAAGTTTCTGATTCGGTGGGTCTGAAGTGGGGCTGGAGCATTTGTGTTTTTTAAGATGTTTCACAGTGATGCTGCTGTTGCTAGTCCAGGAACCACACCTTAAGGCCCACTGGTTTATGATACACTCTCATCACTGGTCCATGCATGTTTGTTTGTTCAGTTGATTTTAGTAGTTTATAAAAATTGATGGGAACCCATTCTCAAAACAGGTCCTTGACTGTAATTTACATATATATCGAGGTGGTTCTTTCCTACCTCATCCCCATGCCCCCATCTCCTTTTACCCATCCTAAATGCTATGTTTATCATTCTCTTACTTTCTATTAAGATTTTTTAATAGATTCTTTTTATTAGGTTATGGAAGTTCCCTTCTATTCTTAATTTACTAAAGCAGTTAATCGTGTTTATGCTGAATTTTATCAAATGTTTGTATCTACTGCATAATTTTTATATATGTTATTTTTAAAATTATTATAGTAACATTTGTAATTGTTTACAAATATTAATCTATCCATACCTGAGATGAAACTGCCTTGGTTAAAGCATACAGCTTATTTTTAATACCTTGTTGGATTTGATTTACTCTTATGTTGATTAGGCTTTTGCTTCTACATTCATGAGTGAAATGGCCTTCTTGTTTTTCTTTCTTAGTTTGACTATATATGGGGTTGGTGTTATAATTATGCAGGTCTCCTGAAATGAACTGGAGAATATTCCTTCCTTTTTCTTTTTTGAGAAGAGTTTAAATAGGATTGGGATGATCTGTTCCTTCAATTTGGTAGAATATGCATATAAAATTATCTGGGACTAATGTTTTCTTCATAGGAAAAATTTTAACCACTACTTCAATTTCTTCACAACTTACAGAACTCTTCTGCATTATTTTTTGTAAATTACGTTTTCTTTATACATTACATTTCTCCTAGCTTTTCAATTTTTTGGCACATAATGGTTGATGGTATTTTTTTAATAATCTTTTTTATATTTGTTTTGTCTTATTCATTATTCATGTCTACTTTTTTCATTTACAATAGTGTTTATTTATGCCTGAACTCTTTTTCTTTTTCTTTTTTTGAATGTGTGATTCTATTTATTTATTTAAACTTCAAAAAGAAACAAAATTATAGTGTTCTTGTTTGCATACTTACATATTATAATGTTAAAAGAAAAGGAACAAGCAGAGAGCTACTGGAACACTGACAATGTTCATTGAGTTTTTCAGCCTAGGTGATGATTATGAATTACTATAATTCGTAAGGCTATACATTTATTTTATGCTCTTTTCTGTGTTATATTTCATAATAAAAGAGTCTATACATTTCAAATAAAAATAAACATTTTGGCAAAAGTAAATTGCTCTGTAAATCACCCTTTTTGAAAGCATAAAAACCACTTCGCTGCATTCATAACAGGATTAAACATCATATCAGAGTGTACTAGTTAAGAGGTTTCTAAAAGGCAAAGGATTCCTATTATTTTTTATTTTTATTGCATTGTAGGTTTGAGGGTACATTTGAAGAACATGCAAGATAGTTGCATAGGTACACACATGACAGTGTGATTTGCTGCCTTCCTCCCCTTAACCTATATCTGCGTTTCTCCCCATGGTAGCTCTCCCCAACTCCCCACACCCCACTGTCCCTCCCCTGTTTCCCCCCAACAGACCCCAGTGTGTAGTGCTCCCCTCCCTGTGTCCATGTGTTCTCATTGTTCAACACCTGCCTATGAGTGAGAACATGCGGTGTTTGATTTTCTGCTCTTGTGTCAGTTTGCTGAGAGTGATGGTTTCCAAGTTCATCCATGTCCCTACAAAGGACAGAACTCATCGTTTTTGATAGCTGCATAATATTCCATGGTGTATATGTGCCACATTTTCCCACTCCAGTCTATCATCGATGGGCATTTGGGTTGGTTCCAGGTCTTTGCTATTGTAAACTGCACTGCAATAAACATTTGTGTGCATGTGTCCTTATAGTAGAACGATTTATGTTCCTTTGGATATATACCCAGTAATGGGATTGCTGGGTCAAATGGAATTTCTATTTCTAGGTCCTTAAGGAATCGCCACACTGTCTTCCACAATGGTTGAACTAATATACACTCCCACCGACAGTGTAAAAGTGTTCCTATTTCTCCACATCGTCTCCAGCATCTGTTGTCTCTAGATTTTTTAATGATTGTCATTCGAACTGGCGTGAGATGGTATCTGAATGTGGCTTTGATTTGCATTTCTCTGATGACCAGTGATGATGAGCATTTTTTCATATGTTTGTTGGCCTCATGTATGTCTTCTTTAGTAAAGTGTCTGTTCATATCCTTTGCCCCTTTTGAATAGGCTTGTTTGTTTTTTTCTTGTAAATCTGTTTTACTTCTTAGTAAATTCTGGATATCAGCCTTTGTCAGATGGGTAGATTGCAAAAATTTTTTCCCATTCTGTTGGTTGCCGATTCACTCTAATGACTGTTTGTTTTGCTGTGCAGAAGCTGTGGAGTTTGATTAGGTCCCATTTGTCTATTTTGGCTTTTGTTGTCAATGCTTTTGGTGTTTTGGTCATGAAGTCCTTGCCTACGCCTATGTCCTGGATGGTTTTGCCTAGATTTTCTTCTAGGGTTTTTATGGTGTTAGGTCTTATGTTTAAGTCTTTAATCCATCTGGGGTTAATTTTAGTGTAAGGTGTCAGGAAGGGGTCCAGTTTCTGCTTTCTGCACATGGCTAGCCAGTTTTACCAACACCATTTATTAAACAGGGACTCCTTTCCCCATTGCTTGTTTTTGTCAGGTTTGTCAAAGATCAGATAGTTGTAGATATGTTGTGTTGCCTCTGAGGCCCCTGTTCTGTTCCGTTGGTCTATATCTCTGTTTTGGTACCAATACCATGCTGTTTTGATTACTGTAGCCTTGTAGTATAGTTTGAAGTCTGGTAGCCTGATGCCTCCCGCTTTGTTCTTTTTGTTTAGAATTGACTTGGCTATATGGGCTCTCTTTTGGTTCCATATGAAGTTTAAGATGTTTTTTTTTTTCCAGTTCTGTGAAGAAGGTCATTGGTAGCTTGA